TACCTTCATTTCAAAGAGCTTTACTGCAAAAGAGACAGATGGCGTGGAGTTTTACCCAGGGGTCCTGACTATTCGTGGCAGCATTAAACACACAAGTCTTCGCTCTTGGTCCAGGGATAGAGGGAAAATGAAGAGGCAGATGCTGGTTATCCCTTTCAGCCGTGTCGTACATGTACGTCCTGTGAATGATAAGAAAAAGAAGCCGCTATTTGTGGCAGAGAGACGTTACTGTACTGTGGCGCTCTAATGAGAGGAGAGGAGAACAGATGAGTGAGAGTGCTTTTAATTATCACCTCCTAAAGTGCTCTCAGACATTACCTGTGTAGACTGTAGAAAAACAGCAGGGAGAGGGAAAAAAAGACACACAAAACCTGACATCTGTAGAAACCAAACAAAGGAGACAGACATGAATGGAGTGTGAAATAACAGCAGATGAAGGAACAGCCTGTTTTGTGTGGAGAAGATGTTGTTATTAACTGGTCACATGACAAAAGAAGAAGACGGAGACCTGTGTTCTCCTCCAGACCAAATGTACTCGTGTTTAAATCCACCTCTACATTCGCAGAAAACGCTCGCTGCTGTGAGCGAGAGGTTATTGCTGCACTGTGATACATACAGTTTCACCTCAGGCAGTTACAGAGATGCGTAAACCAAGAATAAATAAATATTCATGCTGTATTTTGAGGTGTACGTGCTGTTGTAACATGTTGATCTCGATATCCAATGCGGCTAAATATGTCAGGTATAGTTGTACGTTGGTTGTCCTTCCTGTGGAGGAGGGACTGGCTGGATCTTAACACATTATTTTAGTTCTACCTCATCAAACCTGTGCTGTTCATTATGGGGTTTTTTAAATAAGGGAATTCAAGTGTTTTGTGTTTTTGTTGTTGTTGTACTTTTACTAAAACGTCTGCAGTTTTTCCATGAAATGCCATGTGGTTTTTTTTGTTTTGTTGTACTTTTACTAAAACATCTGCAGTTTTTCCATGAAATGCCATGTTAAACTGTTAAAATGGATATTTCAGAAGGAGAAAATTAATTTCGTCCAAATATAATTTTGAGCCAGAGACCCAAGGTGCTGCAAGACATTTCACTAAGTGTTTTTTAAGTGCGAGTCATTTAGGAAGGTCAGCTGAAAGAGCAACTTCTTTTTGAAGTGAATTCGTTTGGCACCAGTGAAGCTTCGGTGAAATAACCGGCTGCATCAAACCCGTTTATGTCAGTAGCGTCTATTTTTATTGCTGCTTTAATTTATTGAAGTTGAAATATTATCAGACCAAGTCCATATTAACAGATAAAATTTCCAAACTTCACTCTCTCTGTAAGTCGGCGTCGCTGCAGAACATTACAGTGGACTTTAGTTCCACGGTGTTTGTGCTCTGTCAGTGTCTGAATAAGCTGTTGAAACAGCACTAAAAGAGGACACAACAGACACCGAGGGAGGAGTGATGGTGCGTCTGCTGGACAGCTCCTGATGACTGATGTGATTCCACTGCTTATACGTGCTCGTCAAAATGCCTGTGTCAGGTGAAAAAGTGTGGACGGATTAAAAAAAAAAAAACACATCGAGGGATGAAGGTTGATTAACAGCCGGATTTGACAGACAACACTTTAATCAATTTGCTGATCAACATGTTTCACATTGTTCACAAGTAGTGAACAAAGGAATATGCAGTTGATAATGAATGGATTTGTCAAATGTTAAATTTCAAATCACTCAAACCTGATCATCTCCCTAAAAATCTATAACTTTTTTTTTAATTTTTGCAACAATGTGACTAATAATTAAAGAAATATCTTAGGATGTCATCAGTGAACACATTCCAAAATAGAACTTAGGTCTTTTGAGATTATTTAAGTAACATTTAAGTAAAAAGGTAAATATCTACTAGAAGGCCGCTCACACTTTATCACCTCTCCAAGTCAGATTGCAGACACGAGCTGGGTCAGGTCGACCCTGGAGGGACGGGCGAAGACCATTAGTCAGTGCCCAGATTCACTCTTCAGGTGTTGGATGGAGGTGAGCGACAAACAAGCCACCACTGTGTAATGAGACACCTCCACCCACACTTCTCCACCGAGTGGCTGGAGAAGCAGCTGCAGTACACACAGTACACACAGTACACACAGTGTATGTTATAAACAGAGCAAAAAAAAAATCACATTACACTGTAGCACCTGAGCACAGGCTGAATGTGTGCTTTTATTTTTCCTAGGTATATTTTTTTCTTTTCCTATCAGACAGGTCTAATTTTCAAGACATATTTTTTTCTTTTCCTATCAGACAGGAATGTAACAATGTTTTGCACACAGTTGATACTTGAGAGAGATGAGATATTTTGTATATTTTAGAATTACATTTAAGACAAATCAAAATGTACTTTAGATAATGCTAACATGCTAGCACACCACCGCTACATTTCTCTAAATGATCGCAGCACAGTTTGTGGTAAAAACAAAGTGACTGTGATTTTTATATTTTTTTCCACAATTTACATTAAGCTAGACTCTTAAACAGTCACCTCATTATTGATGCAAATGTGTAATGGTG